AACAACCAACCAACCAACCATCCAACCTAGTTACGATCGCTTTGTGGAAAGGCCATTTTATCCAATATAATCGATACTATATATTTATTCATGATGTTTATTAACGGAAACAATCGCGAGAATACACATATATATACTCTCATATTGAATACCTCTACAGTGTTAATAAATATTCAGTATTGTAAATCAGTCGTTTTAGAAACATTTTCTTCCACACGAGACATTTATGTGTATTAATAGTAACCGTCGAGGATATATATTGAACGGGGCGCTACAGTGGCAATGCATTCAGTTCATATCTAATAGTGTAAATGATTTTTTGTGTGTGTTAGATCGTTCATGCATGGTTGCACTGTCATGCGTGTAGTTCAGTTACAGCTTGAATGTGTCACCTGTTCATAGTTGTGATATGGTATGGTATTTGGATTTAAGGATGGCTTGGACCTTTTATAGTTGTGATTCGTTGTTGGGGGTTGCGTCCCTCGAGCGCGCCATAATCCTAAGATCGAAGGTTCTAATTCTTGGATACTGATCAAAACGGGATTAAACCACTCACTAGCCGGAGTCGTTTAAGACCGACCTCGAGGGTCGCGACAATGACTTAGGCTGCACCAACCCGCCACCTCCAACTAACTCATGCACCAACTACCCATCCACTCAACAACTAATTTACCCACTTAGCCAATCACTCACTTATCAATCTACCCACTCACCAACTAGCTCTTCCACCCACCTACCCACTCACCCACTCACCAACTCACCAACAAGCTCTTCCAGCCACCTATCCACTCACTCACTCACCAACTAGCTCTTCCACCCACCTACCCACTCACTCACCAACTAGTTATTCCACCCGCCTACCCACTCACCAACTAGCTCTTCCACCCACCTACCCACTCACCAACTAGGTCTTCCATCCACCTAACCACTCGACCATTCACAAACTAGCTCTTCCACCCACCTACCCACTCACTCACTCACCAACTAGCTCTTCCACCCACCTACCCACTCACTCACTCACCAACTAGCTCTTCCACCCACCTACCCATTCACTCACTCACCAACTAGCTCTTCCACCCACCCACTCACTCACTCACCAACTAGCTCTTCCACCCACCTACCCACTCACTCACTCATTCACTCACCAACTAGCTCTTCCACCCACCTACCCACTCACTCACCAACTAGCTCTTCCACCCACCTACCCTCTCACTCACTCACCAACTAGCTCTTCCCCCCACCTACCCACTCACCAACTAGCTCTTCCAGCCACCTATCCACTCACTCACTCACCAACTAGCTCTTCCACCCACCTACCCACTCACTCACCAACTAGTTATTCCACCCGCCTACCCACTCACCAACTAGCTCTTCCACCCACCTACCCACTCACCAACTAGGTCTTCCACCCACCTAACCACTCACCCATTCACAAACTAGCTCTTCCACCCACCTACCCACTCACTCACTCACCAACTAGCTCTTCCACCCACCTACCCACTCACTCACTCACCGACTAGCTCTTCCACCCACCTACCAACTCACTCACCAAGTGACACCAACTAGCTCTCGCCAACTATGTCTTCCACCCTCCTACCCATTCACTCACTCACCGACTAGCTCTTCCACCCACCTACCAACTCACTCACTCACCAAGTGACACCAACTAGCTCTCACCAACTAGCTCTTCCACCCTCCTACCCATTCACTCACTCACCGACTAGCTCTTCCACCCACCTACCAACTCACTCACTCACCAAGTGACACCAACTAGCTCTTCCGTCCACCCACCTACCCACTCACTCACCAACTCACTATATCGATGCTCATGATGTTGATCACTGGATTGTCTGGTCCAGACTCGACTGTGTACAGACCGCAGTCATATAGCTGGCATATTGCTGAATGTGGCGTTAAACAACAAACAAACGAAACAAACTGACTGACTGACTGACCAACTAACTCATCGACCCCCTACCCACTCACTCACTCACCAACTAACTCATCGACGCCCTACCCACTCACGAGTCACTTCACCTCTACTCATGTCTGTGATCGTGGGTCTGACCACTGTGACCTGCATCCCTTTGAGGTTTTGTCCCAGATAGTTGACAGAATCCGATAAAAGCTGAAATAGTGTTCATTCATTCACCTATCTATCCACCCACATGAAGCCGCGTTCAACATACTCTGTGAAATGGAGACCGAAAGAATTATATCGATGTGACATACTATCTCATAACGTCACGTGACCTTGTTAAGCCTCTGCATACCGTCACATGTGGATGTTGAAATATTTACGTTGACAGTGAAACGCGAAACTGGGCGAAACCTTTGAAAGGTACGTTGTCGATATGGGTTATGATGATTTATAAGTGATTTTATTAACCTGATTTATGTTACGATCTGAAAAGATATTGTATTATTTATGTATGAAAGTTCCAATATTCGATGAAACCACTGGTGTTCGTCCTGCAAGCTGTGAATACAATGTAATATCAATATTATACATGCTATTTTGGAGAGAGAGAGAGAGAGCTATTTTGGAGAGAGAGAGAGAGAGAGAGAGAGAGAGAGAGAGAGGAGAGAGAGAGAGAGAGAGAGAGAGAGAGAGAGAGAGAGAGAGAGAGAGAGAGAGAGAGAGAGAGAGAGAGAGAGCCGGGACTTCGGCGTAACCACAACCCTACCCGTTATTTCCCAAACTTGACGTCGTAGATTTTGTTTCAGTGCAATCGAGATTTTACATCTTGTGTAGGCTGATAATAAATGTATAATAGGTAAAACGGTGTGAAGAAATCATACATGTAGCTTCAATATCCCATTGTCGCCCTAAGCGACTGAATGGATATCGAGTGTAAGGTGACGATGGGCTCTTAACGCAGGCAGTTTACCGTCCGTCTATACTATCACGTGATGTCATTAATAAGTGTCACGATAACTGCGATTGGCTAGCTATTATCATAAATCTATTTATTGACATATTGATCACTGATATCGTTTTTTGATATAATCATACTGATTTAATTATATCGATATTTCACTTGATATCATTGAAAGGATGTATCTGATGGCATCCATTTATATCAGGATGTGTCATAAATCCGCTCCACACTAAATGCACCATAAATATATTCATTATTCTTTCTTTTTTAATACCAGTAAGACAGAAATTATGTCAGTAAAATCGTATAAAGGTATAAGTGTTTCAATTGATAGGTCAAATAAATATTCAGAGAAAATGCCTTGCTGTTAATGATCACATCTGTTGTATATATGTCTGTTATATTGATTGTTATGATAGGATCACGTTATCGTAACATTAGGTTCCCCTTACTATGTATGAATATAGCCAGCTATTTTATACACCAGCAGTTCGTTTGTTTTCAATTCCGTAAACGACATGAAACGAATGTGCAGAGCCAAAGTTAAGACTCTGAAGCGGAATGTTCACTATAAATATATGTCAACGACACACTTTTTATAATAGATTTACCCTTCTTAAACCAGCTGATAGTTACAAAACATCAAATTTATCAATTTAATTCGATTTAAAAATGGATTGCAGTCTGCATACAGATTGCAACATACGGAAGTCATCTCAAAATATTGAGCTAAACTCATGGAGTTTATAAACGTCATTTTAGGTAGAATATAATATTATGGAGATAACATTTAAAAAATGAAATTGCGATTCATTGCAGCACAAAATATTACATTATGAAATCAACGGATATACTCATTATATGATATTGATTAATATACGCCTGACACCAACCAACCAACCACATACACACACACACGTGTGTTTACGTCACAGATTCAAAAGTTTACCTGTTTGTCTTCAGCCACACCCAAATCCCACCCCTCATCAATTCAGTTGTTAATGCAAATTAATTATGGAAATTGAATTATTCAAGAGTTAAGTCCCTCCATATATATGTATATTCGATATCGGTGTGGTGCGGGAGACCAATTTGCTACTTTAGTACTCAGTCTTTAATCCAGTTTAAACAAAAGCGTTCGTGCGACCATGCTTCATGGTGAAAACGATTCTGTATTTTGATTGAGCGTGTGTGAAAAAAAGAGGCGTGTTTTACATATTCTTGTTCGGGGCGAGAATAAATTTGCCTGCCATATTTGGCACGGACGATTCAGCCCCGAACAATGCATAGTTAGCAGACACTCGGTTGTCTGCTGTCGGCTGTCATTCGAAGTTGGACTAACCCTGACTGCTTGAAAAGGTGACAATCAATGTTTTTCATAATTGAACTGCTATTTATGCATTTGTTAAGATGTATATCGTCAATGTCTGCTGTTTGTAAAATAAGTTGGCATGTTTCCCACAAATTAACCAAAATCGAGTCTGGATATCTACCGCGTTGATTCCATCTGCATTGGTCGCGTATGAAGAAATTCTCGTCGCTATTCAAGAGTGTTTGTACATGATATTATAAGCAAGGTATTGTGTGAATTTGTTACCATGAACATAGTCACTCTGAGTACCGTGCATGTGCAAATTAGAGATACAGTGTTTGATTGATTCACCGCATAATCAGCAGAACACATTTTCCTCCATTCGACCTTGCAGATGATACTCGCTTGGAGTTTTCAGTGCATGTGTTCGTCGTTAGAGGCGCATGGAAGCCTGAATGACATGGGAATGCCTTTCAAATAGTGTATGTCTGTATCCACAATGACCCATTTAATTCATAAATACCACCAAAGATAAGATGTTTGACAGGTGAAGTGAGAGCCGCAAGGCGTGCTGACATTTGACGATATCTCAAATGCTATTTACCTACAGCGACCAAGCATTGCGTAAAGTAATATTTCTATTTTCGCAGCAAAAGGCAACCTTATATATATCAAATATTTCTCTACAGCCGTCGATACTTAGTATTCATAGATAAATTACCAGATTCGTACAATATTATCTCCCTGCTTGGTCTGAATGTCGTCTTGATGTCAAGGTCAGATTTGTTTGTAGGAAAATATTTTTCTCAAGGTCGTTTCCGTGCGCGTGGTGACATTGTGACTGAAACGGCATACGACAATATAAATTTTACGTGTGTTCATCAGCTGATTACCTTTAATACAATTTTTTAAACCGACAACTTCTAATTGATTGATCATTTGACAGGACCAAATGGCATCAAAAGGAAATAACCAGGTAGTTATGCATATGTTATCCAACATGTCAACACGGGGCAACACTTACAACGTTCAGGTCAATCGGGATTGTGTCAGTCGTGGCATGTTTGATTAACGCCGATTTATACCACCTTTGTTTGACTTCCAACTCAAATTTATGTTATATGTCAATAGATCAGTTGATGATAGCTAAACAAAATGACTGTCAGTGCATATCAAATTATCATGAAACGGCACTCAAAGGTCTAGTTTTTGCAACTTTTGCTAGTACTATTTCTAAAGCCAATGTCTCAAAAATAAAGGAAAGATTTCCGCCCGTAACCCCCGTATTTGGTTTAATCATTATACATCTAAGAATATACGCCAATGTTTTTTTTTATAAACAGCCTATACCTAACCCTAAAATCTAACCCTAAATTCTAGCCCCAAACCTCAAAATAATCCTAAGGAATAGAATGCATTTCAATGGGGGTTACGGGCGGAACTCTTGCCAAAATGAATAGTGAGTATCTGTAAATATGTATATATTCTGTCATTACAAGTCCAGAATAATAGGTTATAAGCCACATGTCAGGGTCGTTATATGTATGTTAAATGCATTGTAGTCAATAACACATTGAGTCAGACTTTTGGTATTGCATGAAAACATCAGTAGTGAGGACTAAATGTTAGTTTTTAGTGGGCTTCTTGGTTTCCTGTGGGTATATAAAAGTTGTGTGTCATAACCTAACATATTCAAAACTGCAAGCGACCAAAACGTAATGAAATAGTATTTTTAAGAGGATGTATCCAAAGTCTCATTTTGCTCTTACTTCATCAGAACCACTACATGATAAGTTTGCAGTGGTCCTGGTGGCCAGTGAATTTTGTATTGATGGTAATGTAAATCTACAAATGTTATTTTGGACCAGTGAAGTACAGACAGAACCACTAATTACTGTCCACTCGTTGGCCCTGTAGTCTAGTGGGAAATTTTGAAAGGTTTCTTTCCCTGATCCTCCACTAGATTTCAATTTCAATAGCATGAGCAAATCATAAAGCACATACAGTAATAGTGGCATTGTAATGTAAGGGTGAAACGATACATCGATGCACCAGTGTATCATGTGAAGATGACATACACATGTCTTGGTTTTAAGGATACAAGATTTGCTATTATAGGTTTGTAGCTTCTCTTTCAACAACCCTCCAGCGTTTGTTGCACTCAAAAGACTCAAATATTGAAAAACATTTTGTAATGAGCATTTCAAGTTTACTTCTAACTACAACCACTACTAGCACTTTTCTTTAGCGAGCTTTTCCTTTTGAGCCTGCTGTAAAATATGATTTTATACCCCACCATCCCCATGCCCCAGGAAAATGACAGACCTAACCAGTTCATGCACCCTTCCGTCCTGATTACTGTTGAGTGCAGCATTGTACCTAGACTAATGTTTAGTCTCTGAATATATATATGTCATTTTGATTTTAACAAATAAACCCATTTCAATTGAAAAGGAACCCTAGGGAGACCAGAGAGATCTGGACTTGCTTCATTTAAACTGAAATCAATATTGAACTTTAGCATTGCAGTTGTTTGGGAGTGCTCAGCTGGCTGTAGTTTGGAGAAATCGGGCCTGGAATATGGTTTGGGGACTGTGAGACACACTACATTGTACCTCACTCTGTCTTTTCATATTTTGTAAACTGAAATTGCTTGCAGTTGTGCAGAGTTTTGTAAAATGTCAGTATCCTGTGATGGGTGGGATTCAAACCTTCAACCTTCTAATCAAATCCACATCACCCTCAGACAAGGCAAGGTGTCATCCTTGGGATGACTCGACTACAAATTGATTATTTCCATTAATTAAGTGTTTATTTCCACAGATGGCACAACTTTTAGCTAAGCCAGGATCATCAGGCCAGCTGCCCCGGCTACCACCACGACCAGGCAAAACAGGACCTGTAAGTACCAACTTCATCACCATGACCTTGCTCTCCAGAGGAAGTTGTGTTCATGACCTGTCTGCCTTGCAGGGAAATGGCATCATTTTGTTTAAGGTTCACAAACAGTTTAACCATCCTAAACCGGTCTTGAATAGGGCAGGGTATTAAAGTCTGGTTTAGGTAGGTGTCCAGATTACACAGAAATATGGTTCCATAGAAGAATGCATCCCTTGATATCTCATTTGTCATATATATTTTTAATTTCTCTTGTCTCTATGGAAACAGTTTTGAAATTGAGCCTAAATCTACTGATAAGGTACATCTGCTTCACCATACCATCTGTCATCAAATCTGTTGTTACAAGTTCAATTGTCTTATCTGCCATAGAGTCAGCATGGCAACAAGTGTAATGCTGTTTCATTTATACATTAATCAGACTCAGAAATATATGTTTACTAATGCTTTTTTCTGATTTGCAAACATATGTGTTATAATAAAGAAATGAACTAATGTATCACAATAGAGAGGGAGAGATTGTAGTGGTGTGACGATTGATCGATACACATCGATGTATCAATCCATGGGCCGTCGATACAGTGAATCGATACAAAGTTTTACATTGAAGTATATCCCGATAAGATACTTCAAATGGGCCACAATACATCGATGTTTAACTTTGAATATTGCCGAATCGCGATATCTGTCAAGAAAAAAGACTCACTTTGTTTGATGATTGAAATATATGCTTTCTTTTTTTTCCCTTCATAAGTAAACGTTTTCTCGGGAATTCCTGCATCAAAAACTGTCAGACATAGCGCTCGCATGTTATTAACATTCACAAAGTCCGTGTATAAACTTAATTATCTCGTTTCCAAATAAACATTGAAACACGCTGGGGAATTTGACGAAATACTTTAAAATAGGTTTTATTTTGATCTTAAGGTGTTTTATAGTTGGTGTTAGAATTAAAGATTTTACTATCGTGATACGTATCGTATCGCCACCCTTATATCGGGATGCGTATCGTATCGCAGCTTCAGTGCACAATACCTTGGCAATATATCGTCATGAAACTAAACTTTTAGTATCGTGATGTATCGTATCGCAGGTTGGATGCCAATACCCCACTAAGAGATTGACAAATGTGATCTTTGATCCAGTACAGATATATTGCTGATTATGTATGAATGAGTTCAAATGATGCAAATTAATACTCAAATATATTATTTAGGGAATTCATACATGTTGGATTAGCAGTGTTCATGGTAGGAAAAAGAGCTTTGCGTTCTTAAAACACATAGACTCTGTATAGAATCTATGCGCATGCACGCACACACACACACACCATCCAAATTTAGACGTCATTTCTTTGCATTTCACAGCATTTTATTATCATTAGCAAGTGAAATTAGCGGAGAGAAACTTTATTTTATTCTATTGAAAAAATAAGTTTTTCGGTTACCTGTTGCGTTTCATGTCATGAACATCGGTTCACATGTCCAATATTTTGGTTTCATAGCCTTTTTCAACTACATACATTAAATTATTCCGGCAAAGTACAAGGGACAAAATTATTGCCATCCCATCACTTCACTTCTGCATTGTGTCGTTTATGTCACATGACCTTTGAACTGTTTGATTGGTCTTTTTGAACTGTTTGACTATTTTAACCCTAAGTTGATAGCTATAACGGAATAGAAATTTTATCATCTGAGCAATAAGTTTGCTTTGTAGGATGGGAGCCTGGTAACCTGCACCAACAAGTAATTATGAACTTGATCCATATACACAGACAAATCACTACATAAGGATCATTACATTTTTCACTACAGTGGGTCATCGTTTATTCACATTATCAATTGCTACTTCCCATTATGAAACATACTTATGTATAAGCGGAATCCTGGCACGCTCTGTTGAATAATCAGCAACATCATGTGTGTCATAGATAAGTATAATATACACTGAAGTACTAACAGACCATAATATGTACTCCAACATGTCAAAACAGATGATTTTATATTTCAGTGTCAGGAGAATTAAGAAAGTAATTAAGAAATGTAACTACTGATTAGATGAGCCACGCCCAGACAACTGTCCCCAATTTGCATATATGGGAATGCCCTCCAGAACAGTCCAATTGAAAAATGAGGGAAACAGGTTGTCGTCTAAAGCTTGAAAAGTTCAATTTCCTCGTGCGAATCGTGTTTTGATTGTTATATCATATGGGGCGGTGGGGTAGCCTAGTGGTTAAAGCGTTGGCTCGTCACGCCGAAGACCCGGGTTCGATTCCCCACATGGGCACAATGTGTTAAGCCCATTTCTGGTGTCCCCCACCGTGATATTGCTGGAATATTGCTAAAAGTGGCGTAAAACTAAACTCAGTCAGTCAGCAGTCAGTTATATCATATGAAGTATGTGTACAGCTAAGATCCTTAGAAACTGAACCAAGACAAATATAACTTTATTTACAAAAAACCCCACACAAGTGCTAGAGAAAAGAACATTTGTTATGTTTACAAACGAATGTATAATTGGCATATATTCTGGTGCATCATCTCCACACGGGTCAAATACAGAATAGATCCATTATGGAAGTTACTGATTTAAGCATACTTCGGACCTTAGTCATCACTTTTTGAATCGGTCTCGGTGTCTAAATCACTTGCCAGTCCTACTTCGATCACGATTCTATCAATTTCTTCTTCTACTGCAATTTCCCGTTACCAGTAGCCATCTTCTATGGTTTTAACATGTTTGCGACATTCGGACCATTCCTTGGCACCGATTGCTAACATTCTCCCGTTCATGGCAACTCTTAGCGAAGTTTCGTTCGGTGTCGTTCCTGGGCCACTGGGCCGATCCGTCTTTCCTGGGCCGTCGTCGTCTTCGTTTTCCTTCATGTTGTCGTGTTCCGGGCGATCGTGTCCGTCTTCCTGTGCTGTGCTGGGCGTCCGTGTCGCTGGGCCGTCGTGTTCCAGACCTCGTTCCGTGTCGTCGTTCGTTTTCCGTCTTCTTCGATTTTCTTCGTTTTCGTTTTCCGTTCGGTCGTCGTCTTCGTCGTCTTCGTTTTTCCGTCTTCCGGGCGTCGTGTCGGCGTATTTCCGCTGTCGTGCGTCGTGTTCGTATTTCGTCGTCGTCGTTTTATCGTTTTCTTCCGCTGATTTTCGGTGTTCTTCCTGTCGTCTTCTTCGTGACGTCGTTGATCCGTTTTCCGCCGTGCGTCGTCTTCGTCGTTTCTTCCGTCTTCGGTCGTCGTTATTTTCGTCTTCCGTATTTCGTTCTTCGTTGTCCGTCGTCGTTATCGTTTTCTTCGTTTTATGCCGATCGGTCGTTCGGTGCTGGGCCGTCCGTGCTGGGCGTCGTGCTGGGCCGTTGTGCGTTTTCCGCTGGGCGTCGTGTTCGTTTTGTCGTGCGTCGGTCTTCGTTTTGGTCTTTTCCACTGTTTTATCCATACTGACATCCATACTACCTGACCACTATCTGACACCTCCACTACCTGTTCCATACTGTTTATCCATGCTACTATCTGTTTCCCACACTGTTCCTGACATCCATGCTACCTGACACACTACCTGACTTCCATGCTGACACCACTACCTGTTCCCATACTATTTATCATGCTATTTCACACTATCTATTTCCATGCCTGTTTCACTACCTGTTTGTCATGCTACCTGTTTCATGCACATTTCACACTATCTGACACCTCCACTATTTCCTGTGCTACCTGGGCATCATGCTACCTGTTTCCACACTGTTTCCTGTTTCCACACACTATCCTTTCCACCATTTTTCACATACTGTTTGTCCATGCTACCTGACTTCCAGGGATCAAGGTAGCTAAAGCTTTATTACATAGATAAAGCTTTAGTCGGATACCTTATTTTTACTGTTATTACCTATACAGAAAGCCTTATTTCTCAAATAATGCTTTAGTTGGGTCAAGCTATGAAAACGTTTATTTGATCAAATATCCTCTATGTCGTGTTGATGGGAGGTAACACTGTGTCATACGGTACGATCAATAATTCTTCTCTTACAAACCCCCTCCCTGGCCCATCCCTCAAGTAGTACAAGGTAGGCTCGTCTGCTTTGATGTCAACTTTATCTATGTTGTATAGCTCTACATGCCGCTATGACACGTTGGCCTCGACGAAACAGTTTAATGTGAATCGCCTATGATCTCTTTGGTGTTCGTTATAAAGGCTTGCCGAGCTTTTTTGTACCCCCTGTTCTATATACTTTTTTTTCTCGTCCTCGCTTATAGCAGACTTACGAGACTTGGATCGAATCTCTTGTTTCATTTTGTCATATTTTGTGAGTTCAGAGAGGATTGAACGAAACTCCTCCTCCGAGATCTTACTGTCAGTGAGTGCCGTGGAAATACGCTCACTCACCGTGTTCAGCTTTGCTTCAGCCAGAACCCTGATTTCGTCGTGTTTCAATGCTTTACGATGCAGTCTGCGGGATACAAGCTTAAGCCCCAACCCCAACACCCCTGTCACCCCAGCTGTTATTTCGAGCCCCATCACTATAGGTGCGGCTACGATGGTAGCTAACAAACCAACACCTGCCACCCCTAGGCCCATGCTGGCTGCCATAAGGGTAGTATCAGTCCCGTCCACGGCATTGAAAGCTCTATGGTACTTCTTATATAGTGCTTTCCGCTTATCGCGGTCTTGTTCTAGTTGGCGTTTTACATCGCATAATTGCCTCAAGCGGAACCCGTCTACGGTTTCCAGGGTCTTCGCTACTTCATCTATGCCTGGGTACAGTCCCATCCTATAATATATATTACGAAAGATATTTTAATTGGGTTTCATTTAACCTTCGATCAACGTACTTGAGACTTATAAGGTGTGAATCCTCATGTAGGAGAATAGTGGAGAAGTTAATAGGTAACTTTGCATCCACACTATCCCCCTCGGAGGGGATTATTGAGGGGGTTATAGAACCCGTTGAGGGGTCCGGTTGTATGACGATGGTGCGGTGACGAACACTACGGTTCTGGGGATTCCAGTGTACTATCACCCCGGGTACAAGTTGTTGGTCTAGATTATTACTGTTAACTCTAGTGATGTAGACTTCTATGATGAGTGTGGAGCCTGGTGACACAACTGGAATATCCGATCGGGTTCTGTAGCATTTATACTGTAACTCACCCCCGATGAATGATAGTAACATATTAGGTAAAACCGGTCTTAGTATAATCTTTGTATTTGGTCCCGGAACGAAACACCCTAGCGCGGTACCGCTATTCTTAATTTCAGAGATAAAACCTTTTTCCTTTAATGTGATATAAGGTGAGGTGAGGGTTAAGTTGACTAACCATTCAGGCTCTTTAAAATCTGATAACGACACCCGCCTATACACGTTGTCTTTCAAGTGCAGGATGTACAAGGCGTCTTCCTCACCAGGCTGATCGAATCCCTCCGTGTCCCCTAAGTCGTTAAGTGTAGTGTTGGGTCGAAGCCAAGACATTGCTATAATACTATTACGAGATAATTTCCAACTGGTTTTCTGATAATAGTTCAGGGGTGCACTTCACCCCCCATGAAGTGTATGTTGTCGGGTAGGAATATATTACCATATTGTGCGTGTTGGAATGGACTGTTTAAGGTGTTGAAATGGATACTAGATTAAGAGCCCCTTTCTAATATTTAAGCGGGGTTATCTCTGTGTGTGAATTGTTTGCAGATATCGTGTGCCATAGTACTGTGCCCCCTGCCATGACTACATGGGATGGCCTAACCTTCGTATTATTATCGTGAAGCGCTCATAAAATCGGGGCACACATTGTGTAATTGTAGTAATTACTTTTTGTACATTGTAATTTCATTTGTTACCTGCACACTTACTTGGTGTGTAAAGCTAAATTATTAGCTAAATATGGTATCCAGGAAGAAATTAAACAATATGTAGTATGTTCTAAATTTTTATGTAAAAGGAAATGGTCAAGAATGGTACGGGAAAAGGTCTTACAATGTGATAGAAAAGCAGCAGAGTATGCCATGCAGTCAAGGCTGTCATTGATACGGTATCAGTCAATAAGATCGGACGGTGTAAATCAAGACAGACCAAGGTACTATAAACGTATTGGTTTTCTTATTAAACTGGGTTCTGTTCCCATTCAGTCAAAGGAATGTGAGTGTGGCACTGTGGCGCACGATATTTTAAAGCACGTTTTTATGTCTTGTAAGATTAATATTGCTGAAAGAAATGTCTTATTTGAACAAATGTGTGACTTGATGTTAATATCTTTGTAAAAGTATGGACCTACGATGATGATGATGAATTTCTGAAATTTCTACTTGGCGGAATACCGGAAGATGCAAAGGACCAGCTAAACTATGATGTGTGGGCAAATGTTATAATATGTGTCTCAAATTCTGTATGTAAATGGAAAAATATTTATAACTGTTGTATTTCACCTTACCACCCTGTATAAATTATTTCATGAGCATTTCTGTTGTATCATATACCATTAATATGACTGTATAATATACATTTGTAATCTTCAAACTATGGAGGAAGTAAAGAATATCTATCTATCTATCTATCTATCTATCTATCTTATTTGGTGTGTAAAGGCAGCACTAATTTGCACATTGTGTTGCATGTTTGATTTTGTGCTTTGCAAATAATGCAAACTACCCAAAGAGCCGTTAATAAATTAACTTGGAAAACTGTTTTGTATTCCTTCTGGGAGGAGTGTACACAGAAGATTGGATAGATAAGAAGGAGTAGTTACAGCTAGACAGCAGAAAACAAGAAATAAGATTGATCGAAAAGGTGCTCCAAGGGCTAAGGATACAGATGGAGATACCCCACCCAAACCCTAGCACAGCTAACCCTAAGGATTGTAAAGGGGTGACTGATCGGAAAGGGGATCCAAGGGCTAAGGATACAGATGGAGGTACCCCACCCTAACCCAAGCACAGCTAACCCTAAGGATTGTAAAGGGGTGATTGATCGGAAAGGGGATCCAAGGGCTAAGGATACAGATGGAGATAACCTACCCTAACTCTAACACAGCTAACCCTAAGGATCGGAAAGGGGGTGACTGATCGGAAAGATGCTCCAAGGGCTAAGGATACAGATGGAGGTACCCCACCCTAACCCAAGCACAGCTAACCCTAAGGATTGTAAAGGGGTGATTGATCGGAAAGGTGCTCCAAGGGCTAAGGATACAGATGGAGGTACCCCACCCAAACCCTAGCACAGCTAACCCTAAGGATTGTAAACGAGTGATTGATCGGAAAGGGGATCCAAGGACTAAGGATACAGATGTGTCCCCGTTTACAGACATTGGAGTAATGCTGACAGCAAACACTTAGCCTCAGTAATATGCTAATGAGACACGATGGAGAGTTTATGACAAAGGAAGACAAGGTCAAGGTTTTCTATTTGCAAATTGTGTCTTGCTATGACCAAAATATCAACCAGTGTTATGTAACTTGCAGTTAGCAAAGCATTAACCACGGTGGTTTAGTTTGCAGAGTGTGTCTGTCCTCCAGATACAATAGAATGAGTTCAAAAAGGAACCCAACCCAAGTGACCAATAATTTGTTCATGTCTCCATTTCCTCAGTTCCGGAAATTGTTCAGGGCTCCTTTAGGATCATATATATTGTTTTGTAGATATATTTATATTTAAATACTTTATTCCAGGGACTGAACGTGGTGCCGGGAATTTTTGAGTGAGTGAGTGAGTGAGTGAGTGAGTGGGTGGGTTGAGTTTTACCGGGCTTTTAACAATATTCCAGCAACATCACGGCAGGGGACACCAGACTTCACACATTCACACTGGTAATAGGCGCGACATATCAGTTTGAATGGCAAATTGTTTGTGCACGTGGAGGTAGAAAGGTGATATGTAATATATGCCATGAGAGAGAGAGAGAGAGAGAGAGAGAGAGAGAGAGAGAGATACATACAGACAGACAGACATACAGAGAGAAAGAGAGAGAGAGAGAGAGAGAGAGTGTGAGATGTCAACTTGAAACTACAGTCGCCACGATACAATGTATTTGATGTGAAACAGTGTGTGACGTCATTGGTAGCAATACGGCCATTCAGCCTCCCGAGCCAGTGCGATATGGGGTTTATTCACCTCTTCCATTGTTACATGTTTACAATCTAACAATCACTGTACAACAACCTGTTTCAATGTTACACACACGCAGACCGATGACATGTCGGTGAGTACCAGTTTAAATGTAGTGAAGCTGATTTCCTCAGACAAGATGTAATATAAACATACATTCTTTCCTCAATATGTCCATGTTTTCTGAATGATTAATAGTATGGGTGTTTGTGGGGTATGTGTTGGGTATGAACATACCATGGTTGGTTGAAGTTCAGTTATTCAATCAGCCACTGATATGTGGAAGCTACTCTATCAACCATTGGTTTGTTCAGGCTTAGTCACTCTATCAGTCACTGGTTAATCGAGGATTAATGACACTTTCAACCATTGATTTGTAGAAACTGGGTCAATTATATCAACCACTGGTTTGTAGTAGCTCAGTTAATCTATCAAACACTAATTTGTCCAAGTCCATCGAACTTCAGTCACTCTATCAACCACTGATTTGTAGAGGGTGAGTCATTCTATCAACCACTTTTTTCGAAGCTCAGACATTCCATCAACCACTGGTTTGTTTAAGGTAATTTATTCTATCAACAACTAGTGTCTTATAGCTCTGTGACACTATTAACCACTGGTTTGTTGAATCTCTGTCATTCTATCAACCACTGGTTTGTTGAATATCTGTAACTCTATCAACCGCTGGTTTCTAGAATCTCTGTCATTCTATTAACCACTGGTTTGTAGAATCTATCTCACTTTATTAACCACTGGTTTGTTGAATATCTGTAACTCTATCAACCACTGGTTTCTAGAATCTCAGTCACTATATTAAGTACTGGTTTGTTGAATCTCTGTCACTCTTTTAACCACTGGTTTTTAGAATCTCTCTGTCATTCTATTAACCACTGGTTTGTTGAATATCTGTAACTCTATCAATCACAGTGTGAACTGCTTATTGTGTTTCCGCTCCTTCCAGAGTCTGACATGGTTGACACATGTCATTGTATCCCAATCGCGTAGATCGATGCTCATGATGTTGATCATTGTCTGGACCAGGCTCGATTATTAATACACACCTCCGCCTCCGTCATATTGTTGGAATATTGCTGAGTGCGGCGTAAAACTAAACACACACTTATTGTGTTCCCGCCCATTGCACAGAGAGAAAGAACAGTGTTTTATTTTACGTACGCTTCTGTGGGCAAACATGAAGCGCCTCTAAAATATGGGCATTTTCCCCACAAACTGCATTAATAGTGATACAGGATGCTGTGATAAATAAATCGATACGCTTATGATTCGTAATGTGTCTCTGCAATAATGGTACTAACTATTAGGGGTGGGTATTGCAGAGAATTTTCATATTGCGATATATTGCGATGCAAAAGCATGTATTGCATATGTATTGCAATATATTGCATGAAGTATTTTTAATCAAAAAACTACTTACAATCGAGGTAATGCTTGATTTATAGAGCAAATACACAGCAAAATCACTATGCTTGATTAAGCTTTATAATAAATTTTATTCATGATAAAAATTAAAAAGGTAAATAATATTTGGCACAAATGAAAAAAGGAAATATCCGAACATTTCCGAGTGTTACGAAGTTTTCCGAATGCAAGTCAAAAAACCGGTTTTCGATCAGCGTATCGCAATGCGTATCATTTTCATGTCTGAACCGGTAAATACCGGTAAACCGGTTATATTGCACAGCCCTACTAACTACTATTGTATATTCTGAGGGAAGAGGCAGAAATGGGTTGTATTACAGTATACACTCTCAAGGTTATAAAAGCTGGAGGCGACTTGCTAACAAGAGGGTATGGTTTAATTTGTAATAGACAGCCTTCCTGAAGATAGATCCCCTACCGTGTGGACAGCTCACTCACTCACTTTATCAACCACTCACTCGCTCACTCATTCACTCTAACAAAGACTGGTTTGTCAAAGCCGATATTATTGCACTTTGATGGAGATACAAAGCTACATGCTGACAACAGGGTATGGTAGATAAAATATAAACCTTGCTGAATATAGAATCCTTAACTATCCTCCCTAACTCACTCACACTACCAACCACTCGTTTGTGGAAACTATATTTAATAACCGATATTATTGCACTTTGATGGAGACAAATACATTGACTAGGTGACAGAAACCGAGTTATTACCTAGCTCCCAAATGAAGACAGCGACGTGTATGCACAAGCTCAAGAAAAGGGCGATAACTCCGCTTGGCTATAAATTGAGCCATTTATGTGAGGCGGTAGTGGGGATTCCAGGTGAATATAGATCCCCGCAACTATACTTGTCGTAAGAAAATTTGGGGCGGTGGTTGGGTAGCCGAGTGGTTAAAGCGTTCACTCGTCTCACGGAAGACCCGGGTTCGATTACCCACATGGGTACAATGTCTTGAGCCCATTTCTGGTGTCACCCGCCGTGATATTGCTGGAATATTAATGAAAGCGGCGTAAAACCATACTCACACACGTAAGAAAATAATAGGCATATCTTATTGTGAATTAACACCCTAAAGCTTCTCCCAATGGAGTATTGGATTTTCATTATCAACTCCTTGAGAAGGATACTAGATGTGACTTGGTGGATCGGGTGGCCTGACTGTCATCGCACGCCGACGTATCCAAACACCAATCTTGGTTTGTTTAATTCAGGATCAATTACACAATACTGGTTATACCGAACTCAAAGGGACCACATCTTGTAGTTCGGTGTAACCGTAGTTCGATTAAAATATACAGCCAGTGGCGGAGCCAAAACTAGTTCTTACATCCGTCAGTTCGTTATAAGCCTGCTCTTATAAATACAGTTTATTCTACAGTCAAACCCCGTTGTGTCGAACTCGTCGGAACCAAGGGGAACAGTTCGACTTATCCGAGTGTTCGACACATCCATCAGCATAGAAACAATGATAAATATATGAAAATCGACAGGGACCCAGAGATGAGTTCGACACAACCGAAAATTCGTCTCAACCGAGTTCGAGACATTGGGGTTTACAAATAGTCCTTACATGATATAACATACAAAGAGCAACACAAAACACCACTGTTTAGATTGAGAACATTTTCACTAGACTTGCAAGTCGATCCAGTATATAATAAACCAAACCACACATTGTGATTGGAGAAGCACTTACTTTCTCTAAAAGTCCCCAGTCTAGGAAGATATATTATATTACACAGAAATATAAAATACGGTGCTGTGTAAAATAACCCATCCTTACAAACCAGTGGTTGATAGGGTGAGTGAGTGAGTAAGTGAGTGGTCCATTTATACAACCTGTAGTAAGTAAGAGACCTTCTATCTACGTAAAAGAGCAACAATATCGCCATACTCTGTAATAAAACCTATACTTACAGACCAGTGGTTGATAGATTGATTGAGTAATTGAGTGAGTGAGTGAGTGAGTGAGTGAGTGAGTGGTCCAATTTTATAACCGATCGTCAGTAAGAGACCTTCTATCTACGTCAAGAGCAACAATATCGCCATCCTCTGTAATAAAACCCATCCTTACAAACCAGTGGTTGATAGATTGAGTGGTCCTCTCTCAGAACCAGTATTGAGTAAGAGACCTATCTACGTCAAGAGCAACAATATCGCCATACTGTGTAATAAAACCCATCCTTACAAACCAGTGGATGATAGAGTCAGTGAGTGATACACTTTTATAATGTGTGGTACTTCGGGACGAGCGAAAGCTTTAACCCCACTGCTCCGGGAATGTTTTGAAGCCATATTGGGTGATGTTGTGATGGCCAAGGAAGTCTGGAGGAGTACGAGACAGGTAATCAGGAGGGTGTGAACCCCCTTTTGGTTCCCCCTGTAAAGTGGTATTGTAGATGTCACCAAGCTGTACCATAGAGCACCCACACCAAAGAAACATGTGCTGGAACCATCCAACCAGATGTAGCACAAATATCAGATGTACATTGATACATTACATTATACCACTAGGGTGTGTTATGTCCATTGTTCCGGCAGGTTGATTTTCTGCGTATCAACCTTCTGTCTGCACGTGCAGAGGTTGATATGTGGATAACGACCTGGTCGGTGCAGGAAACGCACGAGCAACAAGCAATAATGTACGAGTCCATTCGGCGCCCACGTGGTATAAGTAGGTTAGCACCCTCCCTCTGCGGGTGATATGGATTCAACGCTCTCGCCTAACGGCTCGAGCGTTGAAATCCATATCACCCTTGAGGAGGGTGCTAACGTATACGCAAACGCTAAGACACCCACAGCAGGGGGCCTGTTTGGGGATCAAACACATAATGAACGAAATATGGTAAATAATGGCCGAAAATGTCTCTTTACAACTTGTTTGGAGAGTGCTATGAAATATAAGCCCAATGTTAAAGATTAAGGTTGATTAGTTACATACAAATACGATATTGTTTTGAAACTCGTAGCGATTATAATTACATTTCCTAAAATTGGTCGAAGCGCACGTACAATATCCATAACAAGTAGCAAGATCGTCAGAAATACACTCAGTTGGACCCATGAGAGCAGTGATGTCAACAAACGCACGAGCGTGTATTTGAATCTCTCACCGTCAATTGCATGATTCTTATTAAAAACTTTATAATAGGCAGCAAAATCCTTTTAGCTACGTTCTTTGTACTTTCAATATGACGATATATATTTTTCATGATTCTTTAA